CAAATTTTTAATGGAATTAAAAGACGATTAATAAATTTAACAAGAGATTATTCTTCAAATTTAAAAACAAATTTATACAGACATACAACATGATTAACTCGAATACATGGTACTTAATAATTAGCCTAATTCTAATTGTACTTATAATTCTTATTGGGTTTGAACTTTATTTACATCGAGAACAATATTTCCCACAATCAAGCATATAAAATTCAATTAATTAATATTGAATCTTGAACTTTTAATTTAATAAAAACTGTATATATCTTATGCCTTTGGATTATAAATGTCGGACAGGGTAGTAATTTTTAAGAAATCTTGAAATAATTGTGGTGTAATCCCCTCACATGCATGGAAAATAACAGTTTTCCTTCTTTCGAACATGTGGAAACCGTTTTCCGAAAAACGGCCACAAATATTACCTGCTTCCAACCACACAAAAAATGCTAAATTATTAGTTGTCAATTCGCATACTATATTTGGATAGTTGGAGTATGTTCCAGGAATGTGGTAATCATTTACTTTGACCTAAAAGAAATATGATTGATTGAAAGAATCTGACGTTTAATTATATTTATAGATTGAAATATATACTCACAGAAACATTTACAGTTGGAAGAACAACAGTTTTAAAACCATCGTTTGGATATATATAATTTCTAGGTGCTATTTGAGATCCAGTTTTATCTTTTAAAGTAAGTGTTGTAATGCAAGTATTAGATGTATTAGTACGACATTCAGGAATTGTAGAATTCAAGAACCATGAGTGTCCGAATGTATTATTGTGAATTTTAGTCGCTGCATTTGCTTTCTAGAAAAGTATTATTTATGAATATCCTAAATAAATACATCACATTATTTTTCATATAACATATACACTTTTTTAATATATATACACTTACTACAGTTATATTGTGAAAATTAAACGATTGCACAGGTTTCATACTATTGCATGTATAAATATTGACGCCCAATGTAACATTAGTTATTGGATGTAATTTCTCAGAAACAATGTAAATTGAAAAATGACTCCTTTGAATATAATAAGTGACTATAATAGGAGCAAAAAAGTCTACAGCATAATAGTGAAGTATTTTCCATTTGCCATTGAAGTCTACAGATATAATATACAGATTGATATTAAAATAAATTTGGATACTCGTTGTCATTTGTTTAATCACCTATTGAGGACCAAGACGGAGCTTGCCAAACGTCATTCAGTTGCCAATATAATGCCCCCATTGTTCTTCCTTCACTTAATTCATTTAGTGTAGACATGGATTGTCGGTAGAATTCTGTTTGCACTTTCACAGAAACAGCTTGATTGATTTGACTTAAATATATAAAATTCACGAAGTCTATCACTCTATTTTGAACTTCAGGTATTTGAAAGTTTTTTGAAATAAGACCTATCATATATAATGTTCCTAATGGTAAATGTTGACGATGCATCATAAAGTCACTGTTTATATTTAAATCAGCAATTGTTTCAATGACCGGTAATATCGTGTAAATTGAGGGTAGTGATTGGAATCCATATTCGGATGCAAATCTTGTGAGAGGATATTGGTGCATATTCCATCCATTATAAATGTAATTATAATAATGAACTGAAAAGAATATTTGATGAAATCATGCTATCTATTTTGAATACCCCAATTAAAAATACATGTATGTTACCATCTCCATAGTAGTTTGAATATGGATTCTCTCCAGTATAATTATATTGTTCTGTGTATAATCCATTGCTCGGACTAGATATTACAAAAGGTCGGGTAGAATCTAATCGTTCTACTTCCTTCTTTATCAAGTCTACATAAAGCTTGACGTAATCAGTTTTATATACTTGAGAAGTACCAGTTCCATACCAGTTTCCATACAAAGCTGCTTCGTTTTCATTGTTACCAGCCCAAAGGACAATGCTAGGATGATTCTTTAATCTTTGTACATTTTGCACAATTTCTTCTTTGACAGAATCGAGAAATTTTGTTGTGGTTGGATACATACCACATGCAAACATGAAATCTTGCCAGATCATGATTCCATATTCATCAGCTATATTATAAAATAATTCAGATTCATAAAGGCCACCACCCCAGACCCTAAGCATATTCATATTAGCTGCTTTTGCTGATTCTAATAAATGTTTAATCGTATCTGGTTTAGCACTTAATTCTGGAAAAATGCTGGCTGGAATGTAGTTGCTGCCTTTTGCAAATATTGGAATGCCATTTATTTGAAAGTAGAAACTTAATCCTTTCTTAAGGGGCTTTTGTACAAGTTCCACTGTTCTGAAACCAATGCGCACTGATTTTTGTTTTGTAGTATTATTTGTTGCTGCAACTACAGTGAACGAATAGAGAGTCTGATTGCCATAACCATTTGGCCACCATTTATCTACCAGTTCCTGTTATAAAAGGATATTCTTGCATTAATAACATACATTAATTACTTGTATATTATGACAAATTGTTATTAAACATACCAAAGGTATTCTAAGAGAGATATTTGTTTCTACCGATGCATTACGTGTATTTAAAATAATAGTACTAGAATTCTGAATATTTGTTTCTTTATCAATATTCAAGACACATGAAATTTGGCAAGGTAAAAATTGAACATTTTTTTGTTGTATAACTTCAAGAGATATTGTTCCTATGATATTCCAAAATTTTCTTTCTTTAAATATGTCAGTTGCAATGTTTGTGATAAAAATGTCATTCACAGGAATTAGTTCCACGCTTTTCCTGCAATATCTTTTTATTACTATGTGTTAATTTATTGGAGAGAATTAATAAAAAAAATATACAGTACCAAATACCCATAGAGGGAAACGCTGGACCCCAATCCCATGAGAAACTTGCTTGCATTTTTCTTATATGATTAATGTGACATTCTCCATTATAAGTGTTTGGTACACATACAGGAGGAATAATGTACTTTAATGCTTGTGTTTCATATAAGAATTTTGCCTCTTTAACAGCAGAATAAAAAAAGACTGATAATAAGTTCTCCCCCATCTAGAAAACAAATATACATTATTAATGTTTATTTGTGACTTGCAACAAGAAAAGTTTCTTACTTTTAGATATTTTGTCACATCATATGTATATCTCAGAAACATATTTGATGTTTTTCCAATTTCCTGTGCATTTATTGAAATTGTAGAAAATGTGTCCAAGCCATGAAATATTAATATCACTTTGGAAGCACGTAGTAATGTTTCATTTACTACAAAATATTAAATTTTAATTTTACAAATATAGTGTAAACTGCAAAATACAATAATATAATACTTAATTACCATAAAACCTTTTACTATAGGTAACTGATTGATTACCAATCCATCGATTGTTTATATCATTGCTTCCCATAAAATTCTCTGA